TCGAAAGGAGATTCCCTTAGTGTCTCTGTGACACAACTCAGCTTATTTCTGTCATGGTACTAATCACAATCTGTAATTATCTTATATATAGATTGTGCTTCTATGTCATCTTACTCTGTGCAGTAGAATGTAAGCTCTCTGAGGGCAACGACCTTGTTTTTCTTCCTCACAACCATCGTCTCCAGTGCCTAGAACTGTGCCTGGTACAGAGTAGATGCTCAATCAGAATTTGTTGGTTGAACAAAACGATTCTCCTTTTTCATGGTCAACATCAAGGACTTATCCTAAGCCTTCTGTGCTGGGTGTTCTCCATCTGCCCCACCAAATTCATCCTCTACCTTTTTCCATCTGGCTCTGTTCCCTGAGAAGTTGAAATTTTGGACTTGCTTGATCGAGTAATGTGTCCACTGGTATTCCTTGCCCTCTGGCTTTTATGTGGGACTCATCAGGAGGAGCACTGGCATGGAGCTGAGAAGAAGGAGAGTGAGGTCAGGCACCTATTCTCCCAGAGTGTCCCCTTACAAGCAGCCTCAGGCTGGGTCTTTCCCTTGACTGAAGTTCTCAGCACCTCAGTCTCTGGGTCCTGCTCTGTCCCTTTTCCCTTCAGGCCTACAAGATTCGAGGGAAGGAGGAGAGAGAGGTTGGTGTATCGATTCCCTCAGCCCTGTGCTTGCAGGCTGGACATGAGCAGTAGCCGTGTTCCTCTCAGGGTCTCTCCTTGTGCCACAGTAGGCCTGGAGGTAGTGATGGCTTCCCACAGAAGCCAACCCTAGGGTATTAGCCTGTTCTGCATTGATTTCCTTAAACTCTACCCTCAACTTTAGTCCTTTATGAAACTCTTAATTACTCCATTTGAGCTTGCTATCTCTTTTCTCCTGGGATTGTCACCAATAATTTCTTCATCTGTGAAGTGAGAAAATTGGCTAAGTGAAGTTTCTGATGGATCTGCATCTCCATTACTGGTTACTACCGATCACTTTTGAAACCAGTGATAATTCTGACAAAACTTGTTGCAGTTCTGAATTGTGTGCCTCCTGCCCTTTTGCAGTTCAGAGTACCTGCCCTGTAAGCTAATAAAAGTTTGGACTATTCTCATCTCATGTAACTTTCAAACCATTTCCATGAAATTTTGTCCTAGGACCAAGGATAGGGTTATGCAGTTTTTATGAATAAGGTGTCTGGACTCCTGAGGTTTTACTATATATATTGGAATTGCAATAAAGAGGGAAGCTTTCATCTTTTAATTCTGTGGGCGTCCTCTTTCCACATTGTCTTGTAGTGAGCCAAATACCTGCCCTTTCCCTCAAATCCTATTTGTGTGGATAAAGAATGACCCACAACAAACCCACATGGAAGGAGATGAAATGACCGAGACCCCCAAAACTGACCCCCAAATCTGGTGCACATTTCAGTGGTGAACCCCAGACTTGCTTGATCAAGTAAGGTAGGGATGAGCTTTCATGGACTCACATAGGCTCAGGGTTGGATGGTTCTTTAAAGTCATCAGCTCCCTCCCCCACCAGATTGGCCAGTGCTATATAGGGAAACTTCTCCAAGTCTTCCAAACTCTGCTTAAATAGCTGTCAGAACAGAGAGCTAGAGCCCAGGAAGTAATTAGGTTTCTTTGAGATAGTCTGTTTGATCTTGACTGGATGTAGTATATGTTTTGACAAGTGCTTACTTAAAAAAAAAAAAAAATAGAAAACATGAAGTTTAATTTAGCCCTGTGACCTCCTGTCCCATTACCCCTGTGACCTCCTGTCTGGTTTCTGCTACACCAGGTTTGTGACCTATCCCTGGGCCTCAGGTTCCTAAATGGGACATTTAGGAGTTGCCTTGGATGCCATGGTCAATCTCTTCTGCTTGCCGAGTATTTCACGCTTTTCAAAGTGCAATGGAGTTCTCTGCACTTGTGGGATAGACTGAGCACATGTGGTATCTTCATTTTTATGACAGAGACAGAAATATGATCTACTGGTGATACAAAGAGAGTATTTGGTTTGCCCCTTTGATAACTGGAGTACTGAATTCACTCTAAGTAGTATACTAGCCCTGTTCACTTTTCCGCTGTGCTCAAGCATACTGGTGTCATTGGATGGGTTTCAGGAATGCCATGTTATGGACCCCTTTGACCTTTGCCGTGGCCAGCAGACAAGTGGTCTTCTCTGTCTATGAGCTTTACCTGAGCACCGTACAGGTATTATAATTTCCCCTGTGTATCGCAATAGGATAAAGATTGGGAAACATTATTTTCTTGCCTCCTCCCCTACGTCCTGCTTTCTCTTCCTCCTGCCATCCTTTCTTTTTGCACATTTCCAGTGCTTATCACCTCTTTTCTGTTTTCTTGTGTTTTATAGATGATCATGATGCTGTCCTGAGGTTTAATGGGGCTCCCACGGCCAACTTCCAACAAGATGTGGGCACAAAAACTACCATTCGCCTGATGAACTCTCAGGTAAAATTTCTTCTGTGCATATATGGAGTGAGAAAAGTACCACAATGTGGGCTCTAACATGGAATGTATTTATGAGGAGCACATCATAGCTGCTAGTTTAATCAAGTCCCTCCTTGACCTTCTTGAGTCCAAATTTCCTCCTTGGATAAGGAAATGACAGTGATTCCATGACCTAACCTGGTGATGTGTTCATAAAAACCCCTGTGGTATTAGTCTGCACTAATGTAGGTGTCTAGTGCCTAGGAGAGCAGAATTCTGAGATCTCTGTAGCTGCAAGATCACATCTGGAGTATTGCTGGAGGGACAACAGGGCAGAGAACATCCAGGGAAGTGTCAGGAATGTGATAAATAAATAAAATAATACATGTGAGAGCACTTTATGAGCTATAAAATGTTATACAACTATCATAAGACTTCATCACCATATGATTATGTCAGCATGACTTACCCTAGACAGTTTCCTGAAGTGTTTCCAGATAACACATGGTGATTTCGCAATAGCAGCTGAAACTTGAGAAATATTCTTGCCACAAAGTTCTTTTAATAGATCTAATTAGTGGGAAGAACTGGACTACACATATATCAAAAATTGTATGATAGGGCTGCAAACTTACTCACCTCACTTAGATCCACCAATATTTGCCTTTTCCTGAGTAAACGTATGAGCCTTGGGTATTTTTATGACAGTCTCTATATACATTCCTGGGACTCCTGGGCACGGAGTGAATCCTTGAAGTGATCAGAAATGCCCTTGCAGCATGTCCTAGTAGAATGTGCATTCTTCCTCTCCTCTGGCAGGGCTCCACTTCTGTTTTTCTCTCTTCACTTCCTGGCTTCCAGCTGGGCAAAAGCTGCTTCTTTCATAGCTTACTTTCCAATTTAGGCCCCCAGCCATAAGTATTTTTTTATGATGGGATAGCGATTGAGAAACTTTCATTACAGGTGACGACCATCTTGTTCCTTGCTCTTCCTCTAATAATTTTTTTTTTAGAGTCACTTTCTATCATTGCAGCATCCTCCAGTAGCTTCTAGGTGCTGCCCATGCCTGTCTGTTGTTCCACCTTCTATTTTGGGTTTTTTACATTACTTTTATTTTTACTAGAAGAGGGAAAGTTGATAGAAATGAATTAATTAGCAAGATACTTTTTGGAGCAAGTGGCACTTGAGCTAAACTGTGAAAGATGGGCAGGATTTGGAGAAAAAGCAATAAGGAAGCATTCCAGAAAGTAGAATTGGCAGGATGGAGCTGCATAGGAAATGAGGGAAACATTCAAACAGCCCTGGGTAGGTTGGAAGTGGTGGTGTGGAAGGATTCACATTGCCCTATAGAGGAAGATGAGGCTGGACCTTCATGGCTACTCAGCTTCTGGCAAGTCTGGAAATTCAGACAGAGGAGTTAGGACCAGCGTTGCCCATTTCCCTTCTCATGCCCTGGTTACAGAAATCTTGGAGCTGGAGAGCATTTTAGGGAGCACTAACACCTAACCTCTACCTCTGTGTGAGATGGTACCTAAATATTCAAAAGAGATATTATTTATCCTTAATTAATTCATTCTTTCAACAAATATGCACAGTATTGAGTGGGCTGTAGCAGTCAGTTCACAGACTCAGCATTTAGCCTGCCTGGGGTTAGAACCCAGTTCTGTCTCTTACTAACTAAATGATCATGCCCAAGTTACTTACGCCTCTAAGGACAATATTATTTTCCTTACAGGGTTGCTGTGAGGTATAAATGAGGAAAATCTATGGACAGCACTTAGAACAGTACCTGTCACATATATCAATAAAATGTTATGTAGTCTTCTTACTGTTTATTTGTGCAGATACTGAGCTGGCACTGAAAGAATGTCGAGCAAAGCAGACTCACTTCTATTCTCATGTTACTTATGGATACAGTCAAATAGTCATAGAAAGAAATATAACGCTGCAGCAGATAACTCCAGAAAAAGGGTCAAGGTGCTAGAAGAGGCCATAAAAGGGAGATGTGAGCTATTCAGGAAGGTTAGAAAGGCTTCCATGAGGAAGTGATAATTAGTTGTGTAGGAGAAGTAGGAGTAGACAATGACAAGGGTAGGATAAGAGCTTTTCAAGAAGAGGCAACAGCGTAGGTAAGGTCTTGTGTGGAAGAGAGCAGGGGAGTATAAGGACTTAGGAAGAGGTGGGTGAATGTGGGGGTGTATGGTGAGAGATGAGGCTGAAGGTAAGAGGAGTCAAGCTTTGGTGCTGTGCTAAGTTTTCTTCATAGCATGATCAGATTTGCATTTTGTAGATATCCTTGGCTTCCATCTGATCAGGGAGGCTGCAGNAGATACTGAGCTGGCACTGAAAGAATGTCGAGCAAAGCAGACTCACTTCTATTCTCATGTTACTTATGGATACAGTCAAATAGTCATAGAAAGAAATATAAAGCTGCAGCAGACAACTCCAGAAAAAGGGTCAAGGTGCTAGAAGAGGCCATAAAAGGGAGATGTGAGCTATTCAGGAAGGTTAGAAAGGCTTCCATGAGGAAGTGATAATTAGCTGTGTAGGAGAAGTAGGAGTAGACAATGACAAGGGTAGGATAAGAGCTTTTCAAGAAGAGGCAACAGCGTAGGTAAGGTCTTGTGTGGAAGAGAGCAGGGGAGTATAAGGACTTAGGAAGAGGTGGGTGAATGTGGGGGTGTATGGTGAGAGATGAGGCTGAAGGTAAGAGGAGTCAAGCTTTGGTGCTGTGCTAAGTTTTCTTCATAGCATGATCAGATTTGCATTTTGTAGATATCCTTGGCTTCCATCTGATCAGGGAGGCTGCAGTAGATGGAGAGACACAGTTCAGAGGGTCTTGCAGTAGGAGTGAAGGTGAATGTGAGAAAAGAATGGATTGAAGAGTTACATGGGATGTGCAGTCACAGGCTTTAGTGTTGGATGGGATGTGAGAAGTGAAAGAAGAGGGGTCAAAGGCACAGCTTGGTTTTTGGCTTGTGTAACTGACCAGTCAGAAGTCATTGAGATTGGGAGTACCTGAAGATGTTTTGGGTGGTTAGGGCTAGGCTCAGAGAGGAGAGTAGAGATAAAAAATATGGTTCTAGATATGGTTGGTCTGAGCTGCCTTTTAGATATCAATGAAGAGATGTCAAGTAGGTATTTGTACGAATATGGCTAGAGTTAGTGGAAAGGTCTGAGCTAGAGATGAGAATTTGTGAATTGTCTGTATTGGTGTGGGAATGAAACAATGGGACCGAATGAGAGCACTAGAGGGAGAGGGTAGAGAGAGAAGTCCTATCCAGGGGCTTTGGGTAACAAAAACAGAGAAGGAGAGAGTGGTTAGCAGTGTCACATGCTGCTGAGGGCCAGTTTAGGTGAAGACTGAAATGCATCTGCTCTCTAGCAAAATGGAGGCCACTGGTGACAAAAACTGTTTGGGGGGCGATGAAGCCAGAAGGCGACTGGAGTGTTTTGAGCAGTGAGTGGGAGGAGTGAAGGGGCAGACAGATGTCAACAGTTCTTCCAAGAAGTCTGACTTGAAAGGGGAATTCTCACAAGACTCAATTCTAGCAACATCTCTTGCTAGAATTCTGCCTTTGAGTAGCTCATTCTCTTTCCAGACAGGTGGGTCCTCCTGACACCGACTCTCTTCTGAGGGTAGCCGGGCTTGTGTTTGTTCAGCTCCTCTCCCTCACACGGCACAGGACAGCCTCTTGTGCATCTGGGCTGTGACAAAGCCACAGAAAACAAAAGATACTTTTTTTTACAGAGAAGATGGTTTTTTATAGAGAGCAGCTTGAGATTTCAGCTTAGCAGACCTATTCAGGCACGTATGCTTCTGTGCCAGGTGTTGTGATGAGATTCAACAGGAGAACAATACAGTTAAAAGTGGGTCATTAAACAAATCCACTTTTGACTATAAGTGTGAGAAGGTTTCTGTAAGACTCAGCTGGACACCTGCTGTACTCAGTGGGCCTGAGAGAGGAGACAATGGGACAAGAAGACTCTGTGGCTTCCTTAGAAATTTTAGTTCTAGCCAGGGAGAAAAAACCTACCTCCTGTGCCTACGGACAGGGCATGTTGATTGGACTTCAACCAGGACATTCCCAGATTACTTCATGGAGCTTATTCTGAAATAGCTGGTACTGTCTACTGAACTAAGGGCCTCACATGTCATCTCATTTGATCCTTATGACAACCCTGTGAGGTGTGATCACCGAACACCATTTCACCTGAGGACACTTAGGCTCAGAGAGTTGCTCAGAGTAGCCAGAAAGTACGTGACATAGGTGGGATTTGGATCTAGCTCTGTTTGCCACCAGCTCTTTAAATCTCCAAAGCTGCCCTGTGAGGTGTGATCACCGAACACCATTTCACCTGAGGACACTTAGGCTCAGAGAGTTGCTCAGAGTAGCCAGAAAGTATGTGACATAGGTGGGATTTGGATCTAGCTCTGTTTGCCACCAGCTCTTTAAATCTCCAAAGCTGTCTTTAAGCTCCAATTTTTCTTCTCAAGGTACTGAACAGCAGGTGTCTGGATAGGTGTTGGCACAGGCAGGCTGGTGTGGAGGGAAGGGGGTTTCCATTAACAGATCTAAAAACAGCTCTGGTAAGCTGGGTGATTCTGATGGGGCCCCTTCAATACAGTATTTTAGTATCATGATTTGGGAGCTAAAATCTAAATGTGATGCATATCTGGGACTTCTTGATTTTGACCAGCACACACATTCTAAGTCACTGATATTTTTCAGAATCAGAGAAGGGCTGTGACTTGATATTGGACTCAGCTTGCTTTCTTATTCCAAAGCTCTGGGTTGTAATCGTTTTTAACACGTCAGAGCTGCTATTGGTCCCTTTTCCTTGTGCAGTCCACCCATGTGTGTGCTGCCAGCTGCCCAGATTCCATCCAGTCAAGCAAACAAGCTCCCACAAAATCCCTGCCTGGAATGGGAGAAGAGCAGGGGAATGCAGTGTCCCTCTCCCCACAAGGGCTTTAGTTTAGTTGAGGAGAAAAGACCTTTCCACCAAACTCCTCCCAA